TTGCAGTGAGCCAAGATCGTGCCACTGCACTCCAGCTTGGGTGACTGAGTGAGACTCCGTCTTTAAATAAATAAATAAATAAATAAATAACTGAATCCAGGACCTGGTTTTTTGAAAAGATCAACAAAATAGATCACTTTAGCCAGACTAATAAGGAAGAAAAGAGAGAAGAATCAAATAGATGAAATAAAAATGATGAAGGGGATATCACCACCAATCCCACAGAAATACAAACTACCATCAGAGAATACTACAAACACCTCTATGCAAATAAACCAGTAAATCTAGAAAAAATGGATAAATTCCTGGACACTTACACCCTCTCAAGACTAAACCAGGAAGAAGCTGAATCCCTGAATAGACCAGTAACAAAGGTCTGAAGTTGAGGCAGCAATTAACAGCCTACCAACCAAAAACAGTCCAGGACCAGATGGGTTCATAGCTGAATTCTACCAGACATACAAAGAGGAGCTGGTACCATTCCTTCTGAAACTACTCCAAACAATACAAAAAGAGGGAATCCTCCCTAACTCATTTTATGAGACCAACATCATCCTGATACCAAAACCTGGCAGCAACACAACTAAAAAATAAAATTTCAGGCCAATATCCATGATGAACATTGATGTGAAAATCCTCAATAAAATACTGGCAAACTGAATCCAACAGCACATCAAGAAGCTTATCCATCACGATCAAGCCGGCTTCATCCCTGGGATGCAAGACTGGTTTAACATACATAAATCTATAATCATAATCCATCACATAAACAGAACCAAAGACAAAAACCACATGATTATCTCAATAGATGCAGAGAAGGCAGTCAATAAAATTCAACAGTGCTTTATGCTAAAAACTCTCAATAAATCGATGGAACATATCTCAAAATAATAAAAGCTATTTACGACAAACTCACAGCCAATATCATCCTGAATGGGCAACAACTGGAAGCATTCCCCTTGAAAACTGCCACTAGACAAGGGTGCCCTCTCTCACACTCCTATTAAACATAGTATTGGAAGTTCTAGCCAGAGCATCAGGCAAGAAAAAGAAATAAAGAGTATTCAATTAGGAAAGGAAGAAGTCAAATTGTCTCTATTTGCAGATGACACAATTGCATACTTAGAAGACCCCATCATCTCAGCCCCAAATCTCCTTAAGCCAATAAGCTACTTCAGCAAAGTTTCAGGATACAAAATCAATGTGCAAAATTCACAAGCATTCCTATACACCAGTAATAAACAGAGAGCCAAATCATGAGCAAACTCCCATTCACAACTGCTACAAAGAGAATAAAATACCTAGGAATACAACTAACAAGGGATGTGAAGGACTTCTTCAAGGAGAACTACACACCACTGTTCAAGAAAATAAGAGAGGACACAGATGGAAAAATATTCCATGCTCATGGTTAGGAAAATCAGTATTGTGAAAATAGCCATACTGCCTAAAGTAACTTATAGATTCAATGCTATCCCCATCCAGCTACTGTTGACTTTCTTCACAGACTTGGTAAAAACCACCCTAAACATTATATGGAACAAAAAGGCCAAGAGAGCCCAGACAATCCTAAGAAAAAAAAAAAAATAAGCTGAAGGCATCATGCTACCTGACTTCAAACTATATTACAAAGCTACAGTAATCAAAACAGCATGGTACTTGTACCAAAATAGAGATATAGACCAATGGAAAAGAACAGAGGCCTCAGAATAATGCCACACATCGACAACCATCTGATCTTTGACAAACATGACAAAAACGAGCAATGGGGAAAGGATTCCCTATTTGATAGTGTTGGGAGAACTGGCCAGCCATATGCAGAAAGCTGAAACTGGACCCCTTCCTTACACCTTATACAAAAATTAACTCCAGATGGATTAAAGATTTAAACATAAGACCTAACACCATAAAAATCCTAGAAGAAAACCTAGGCAATACCATTCAGGATATAGGCGTGGACAAGGACTTCATGACTAAAACACCAAAAGCAATGGCAACAAAAGCCAAAATTGACAAATGGGATCTAATTAAACTTAAGAGCCTCTGCACAGTGAAAGAAACTATCATTAGAGTGAACCAGCAACCAATAGAATGGGAAAAATTTTTGCAATATGTCCATCTGACAAAGGGCTAATATCCAGAATCTACAAAAAACTTAAATTTACAAGAAAAAAGAAACAACCCCATCAAAAAGTGGGCAAAGGATAGGAACAGGCACTTCTCAAAAGAAGACATTTATGCAGCTAACAAACAAATGAAAACATGCACCTCATCACTGGTCATTAGAGAAATGCAAATCAAAACCACATTGAGATACCACCTCACACCAGTTAGAATGGTGATCATTAAAAACTCAGGAAACAGATACTGAAGAGGATGTAAAGAAATAGGAATGCTTTTACACTGTGGTGGGAATATAAATTAGCTCAACTATTGTGGAAGACAGTGTGGCGATTCCTCAAGGATCTAGAACTAGAAATACCATTTGACCCAGCAATCCCATTACTGGGTATATACCCAAAGGATTATAAAGCATTCCATTATAAAGACACATGCACACGTATGTTTACTGCGGCACTATTCACAATATCAAAGACTTGGAACCAACCCAAATGCCCATCAGTGATAGACTGGATAAAGAAAATATGGCACATATACACCACGGAATACTATGCAGCCATAAGAAAGGATGAGTTCATGTCCTTTGCAGGGACATGAATGAAGCTGGAAACCATCATTCTCAGCAAACTGACACAAGAACAGAAAACCAAACACTGCATGTTCTCATTCATAAGTGAATGCTGAACAATGAGAACACATGGACACAGGGAGGGGAACATTCACACTGGAGCCTGTCAGGGGATGGGAGCTAGGGGAGAGATAGCAGGGGGTGGGGAGATTAGGGAGGGATAGCATTGGGAGAAATACCTAATGTAGATGACGGGGGATGGATGCAGGAAACTACCATGGTACATGTATACCTATGTAACAAATCTGCATGTTCTGCACATAAACCCCAGAACTTAAAGTATAATAAATAAAAAAATAAAAATAAAAGACAACTGGCTATGTGGCTCTCACGCCATGCACTAGAAACAGAGAACATGAGCTATGAAGTATTCTTGTCCATACTGTTAGACTCACATTTGATGAAGCCTCCAGATCTTAACTGCCTAGAGTCGGTGAACATTGAGTAAAAACCACACTTGAAAAGGGAAATTTTAAAGAATTGTTAATTAGAAGGCAACTACTAAATGGGATTTTTAAAAAGTATAAAAGTAGCAAGTGCAGAAAGCAACTACTACCCAATGGAGAGAAAAGGGAAGGAACTTGGACATTTAGAAGAGGACCCCACCCTCTCCAGAGACAGTTACACCTCAGCAAATGATGAGAAGTACTGGAGACTACAGGCCTTGGCTGACCTAGAATCCTGCCACTAGGCAGCAGGAAAACTTATCAGGCTAGCAGCTGAGCATGGGAGGTAGTGCTGCCGTGGGGAGAAGCTTACAGGAGGAGGGGGTGAGCTGCTGCTGAAACTGAGGGCTGCCACATAAACGCTTCCAGGCTCTACCACATGCTCATCCACCCACTGTGGAAAACAGCACACCAGGAAGGAAAGTCCCTTCTTGCCCTAGCCTTCCAGTGTCTCCACAGTGCCCTCTATTGACAACATAGTCTGTCGATAAAGGAGCGGGTTAATGCTGCCCTTGGCCTCTGCTACTCTGAGATCCCACCACCCTCACTGAAATCAGGGTGCCCATCTCCAAGGCACAGTTGGGTCTGGCCTACGACAGAGAGCAACCACAGAGATTTCAAGGTGGCAAGTACTCTCTTCACTAATGTATTTCTCAATGTTTTAAAGAAGAGAGTGCCTTCTGGACCATCTCAAGATGTGGTTTGGAAGAGCACATGATAGATCCACTCCAACATTCCTATCTCCCTCAGTGGAATCCCTCCTCCACAGCATGCTGTGGAAGCTCTGGCACCCCACTTCACTAAACATAGGCCACCTCCAAGTCCACATTTCAGTCAACCAAGCAAGTAAGCCCTTAGAGCTGTAATGAGCTAATACTTAAATCCAGAATCTCTAAAGTGCATCCATGTCCATGAACTCAGCTCAATCTAGCATTATAAGCTGGGACACTACCTGTTCATAGGAAATGAGGGAAAGCAATCAGTTAAGTCTAGAATGTGGAAAACCCTACAAGCCAAGTGACCACGTTTCCCCGATAACTGGCCAAAAATTAAAAATAAGGTGAGGAAATTAAGGGAGACTTGGAAAACTAAATGCAGTAGGGCTTCCTTGTCTGGATTTTTTGTTTCAAATAAACCAACTGTAAAGTGGCCATGAGAAATCAGAAGCTTTAACACACAGGAAATCTAATATTACAGAAATGCTTTTTAGGTGTGATCATGGTATTTTGGTTGTTAAAAGAGCCTTTATCTGTTGGTGAAATATTTATGGAAGGAGTAGGTCTCAGATTAGCTTGCTCACTCTCTCTCTTTTTTGAGATGGAGTTTCACTCTTGTTGCCCAGGCTGTAGTGCAATGGCGTGATCTCAGCTCACTGCAACCTCCACCTCCCAGATTCAAGCAATTCTCCTGCTTCACCCTCCCTAGTAGCTGTGATTAAAGGCATGCACCACCATACCCAGATAATTTTGTATTTTTAGTAGAGACGGGGTTTCTCCATGTTGGTCAGGCTGGTCTCAAATTCCTAACCTCAGGTGATCTGCCTGCCTCAGCCTCCCAAAGTGCTGGGATTACAGAGGTGAGCCACCGCGCCTGGCTGGTCTCAGATTAGTTTTAAAATAACCCAGAAAATGTAGAGTATATTCACAGCTAAAAAGAGAGACCACAAAGTAATTGTTGAAGCTGGGCCAGAGGTTGAAGGATGTTTACTATGCTACCCCCTGTACTATTGTACATGAAAATTCTCAGTCTAAAAAAATTAAAAATTCTGCCCCCAGCAACTGAAAAAAAAAGAGAGTACAACTCACCTCCACATTAAGAACTTTCTGCTGCTTTGAGGGGAGACTGAAGAAGTCAGGCTCTAATGCGTCCGTGCTGACCCTGGGACGGGAACAGGGCAAAGGGCATTTTCAAGTCATTTTGAAGGAGCATTTGGTTCCCATGCTCCTTCTCTACCGTTAAATCTAAGGAGAAAAGTGGAAGCAAAGCCTCATGGTTAAAAACTTGCTAGAGCTGAAACACCTGGGTTGGAATCCTGGCTCCTTCATTACTAACTATGACTCCAGGCAAGCTATTGAATCTTCCAGAACCTATTTTCCCATCTTTAAGGAGCTTTCAGGGTTAAAGGAGTCAACATTTTTACCTGTTTAGAACAGTGCCTGGCTCAAGGTTAAAAACTATACAATTTTTAAATTTTCCAGTAAATGATTTAACACTCTTGCCAGCTGGAGCTAAGGTTTTTTTTTTTTTTTTTTTTTTTTAGAAAGAAGAGGATGTCAGGGCAGAACAAAAGAATATAATGGGAGCTTGCAACCTCCTCTTCACCCCCATTACCATGGTGCCACTGAAGTTAGGAGTCCCTGACTTCCATGTTTAATTCAGGTTCTAATTAAAGACATACATTTGAACTGTAAAATCAGAGCAATCCAGGAAGTAGTCCCAGCAAGTTATAATAAAACCAAAGACAGACCTAAGAGATTCCAGTCTGTGTGCACACCTCATTATGAAAAGACGCTTAAGTGCAATCCACGTGACCTTTAAAGGCAGGAACTGGTAAGGTGAGCCACAGACCTAGAGTGTGTAGGTGGTACAAGCTACACTTGGCCTGAGGTTCTGATTCCTAAATAGATGAGCTGTAAGCTTCTGCAGCTGCCAAAGCTTATCTCTGGTGAGGTTAATTAACTATGGTTGAATTCAAAGTCACCAGGGAGAATAGCAGAATTCTAAAGAAACTCTTAAAACCCAGAGGTGCTGTGATTGAGCGACATGATGAAATGGCAAATTTAAAGTGGCCAGGGGTAGTGTAAGACAGATGAACATTCACAGTGATTAAACTCAGGAATGCTCAGATTTGCTGTCAAGAGACAAGTCAAACAGAATGGAAGTATTGTTAGAGAAGGAAAATGAGTAGCTACAGAAATCACACTGATGATGAGGCAGTTATCTAAGAAATGACAGGTGAGATATTAAAAATGGTATTTATACTGATAACCACTGAACTACAAAAATGTGTAGTTTTGTAAAAAATCAGAAAATGAAGTATTTCAGTTTCCAGGTCTTTCCCTCCAACTTCAGTATCCACCTTCCCTCATTTAAAAATGCATTTAGGAATATGATAATCCTTTCTGGGCTACGAACGCAATTTAGAAGATTTTCTACTTGAGCTAGCCCCACAGTTGTTTTCCACGTGTGCACTAGGGAAATAATTTAGCATTTTTTGACATGACCCAGTGTTTCCCAGATTTTGTTGTACATTAGAACTATGGGACTTGAAAAAACATCCCTCTGCTCAGGTCACACTCCATACTAATTAATTCAGAATGTCTGGATGTGGAAGTCAGGCATCAGTTTTTTGGTTGTGTGTGTGTGTTTTTTTTTTTTTTAATGACTCCCAGGTTATTCCAAAATGCAGCAGTTTGAGAATCATGGACATAATCTTACAGCGTTGCCCTACTTCTTATGATGAAAATTGCTAAGGCTGGGTGAGGTGGCTCATGCCAGTAATCCCAGCACTTGGGACGTAATCCCTTGGGAGGCCGAGGTGGGTGGATCACCTGAGGTCAGGAGTTCGAAACCAGCCTGGCCAACACATCAAAACCCTGTTTCTACTAAAAATACAAAAATTAGCCGGGTGTGGTGGTGAGTGCCTGGTGTCCCAACTACTCATGAAGCTGAGGCAGGAGAATGGCTTGAACCTGGGAGGTGGAGGTTGCAGTGAGCCAAGACTGCACCACTGCACTCCAGCCTGAGTAACACAGTGAGACTTCATCTCAAAAATAAAGAAAAAATTGCTCATACAGGATAAAAACTTCAGCTGCAGTATTTTCTAGAAAATGATATACTATCTAAACTTTGGAGTTAAAAAGAAAGACATGGGTCGTGGTGGCTCACACCTGTAATCCCAGTACATTGGGAGGCCGAGGCAGGTGGATCATGAGATCAGGAGTTCGAGACCAGCCTGGCCAATATGGTGAAACCCAGTCTCTACTAAAAATACAAAAATTAGCAAGCAGAAGAATCGCTTGAATCCAGGAGGTGAAGGTTGCGGTGGGCTGACATACCACTGCACTCCAGCCTGGGTAACAGAGTAAGACTCTGTCTCAAAAAAAAAAAAAAAGGAAGGGACAAAAAATCTCCGTCAATAGGTGATGTTTTGAGTTTCCATATGCTAACATTCAAAAAAATCAATGGTTTGTTTTGTATTATCTTCCCTCCCTAAACAAAAGATACAAAATCAAAGTTTGCGTTCTCTGGAGATAAAAGGAAAACAACATGGAATAGAATACTACTGCCAGTAACTCTGTCATAAAAAGGTAAGAAAAGGTTAAATATACTGAGATTTAAAACTTCAGAGATTGGCACAAATAACTCCCACCTGTAATTCCAGCATTTTGGGAGGCTAAGGTGGGAGGATCGCCTGGGCCTGGGCAACACAGCAAGACCTCAATCTCTACAAAATAATAAAAAATTAGCCAGGCACGATGGTGCACACCTGTAGCCCTGGCTACTCAGGAGGCTGAGGCAGGATGATCACTTGGGCCCAGGAGTTTGAGGTTGCAGTGAGCTGTGACTGCACCACTGCAATCCAGCCTGGGTGACAGAGTGAGATTGTCTTTACAATAAAACATGGGCCAGGCTCGGTGGCTCAAGCCTGTAATCCCAGCACTTTGGGAGGCCGAGGTGGGTGGATCACGAGGTCAGGAGATTGAGACCATCCTGGTCAATATGGTGAAACCCCGTCTCTACTAAAAATACAAAAATTAGCTGGGCATGGTGGTGCGTGCCTGTAATCCCAGCTACTCAGTAGGTTGAGGCAGGAGAATTGCCTGAACCCAGGAGGCGAGGTTGCAGTGAGCCAAGATGGCACCATTGCACTCCAGCCTGGGTAACAAGAGCGAAACTCCGTTTCAAAACAAACAAACAAAAAAACAAAAACAAAAACAAAAAACAGGCACATACAATAAAACAAAAACAAACTTCAGTGCTTGAGGTCAAAAACTGCTGTTAGGTCTCAAGAAAAACAAAATCTAGTCACAGAAGACCATGTTTCCTAAAATGTCAACGCCAAGTGTAGAATGTCACACTAAATAATTGCAAAAATTTAAAGTCATTCCTACTTTTAAATCTGCTACCTTTAGTGAGAAAGTGACTGCCTGCTACTTAGTTAACCCAGCTTCTGACCTTAAATCCCAGAATTGCTTGAACCCAGGAGGTGGAGGTTGTGGTGAGCCAGGATTGTGCCACTGCACTCCAGCCTGGGCGACAGCTTCTGACCTGATACCAAAGCTGTCTGCTCAAGCCTAATAACAAGTAAGCCATGCTCTGAATGCTGTTTCCCTCACACTTACACACTACTCTCCATCATCTTTGGAGATGAACCATCTTACAGAGGTTTCCTGTGGCACGCTTTGATTGGATCCCTGAACAGTTTGGTTGAGGGATTGAAAAGACTTTTAAAGTTAATGACTTCAAGTCTACCCATTGTATTACTAAATCCACTTATTTAGAATTCCAGTTCCCACTTGGGGAGCAAGACTAAACTGCCTTAATGATTACGTTTATGTATATACTAAATCCCTGATGTGAACATAATTTTTTTTTTTTTTTGAGATGGAGTTTCGCTCATTATCCAGGCTGGAGTGCAACGGCGCGATCTCGGCTCACCGCAACCTCCGCCTCCTGGGTTCAAGCAATTCTCCTGCCTCAGCCTCCCGAGTAGCTGGGATTACAGGCACGCGCCACCGTGCCCAGCTAATTTTTTTGTAATTTTTAGTAGAGACGGGGTTTAACCTTGTTGACCAGGATGGTCTCGATCTCTTGACCTCGTGATCTACCCGCCTCGGCCTCCCACAGTACTGGGATTATAGGCATGAGCCACCGCGCCCGGCCTCATAATTCTTATTTTAAATAATACAACTATGATTATTTAAAGCAATTATTTTTAAGGCCAGGCATGATGGCTCACGCCTGTAATCCCAGCACCTGGGGAGGCTGAGGCATGCAGATTGAGGTCAGGAGTTCGAGACCAGCCTGGACAACAAGGTGAAACCCCGTCTCCACTAATACCAAAAAAAAAAAAAAAAAAAAAAAAAAAATTGAGCTCGGCATGGTGGCACATGCCTCTAATCCCAGCTACTGGGGAGGCTGAGGCATGAGAATTGCTTGAACCCAGGAGGTGGAGGTTGTGGTGAGCCAGGATTGTGCCACTGCACTCCAGCCTGGGTGACAGAGTGAAACTATGTCAAAAAAGATAATAAAGTAAAATAAGCAATTATTTCTTATTCAATATATCACTAATATTCATTATCTTCATTTCAAGCCCAAGAGAAGCAATTCGTTATCTTACCTCCATTCTGCAGGCTCCTCAGTACCTAGTTGTAATAAATGGTGAATTATCAGATCTCATGAGACTTCCACAAAAACAGCAAAAGAAAAAAAAAAGATAAATGGTGAATTAAAACCATTACAAACCTGCAGTATCAGGATGCTACTATTAGAACACCTGTCCATATGATTTTTTTTTTTGAGACAGAGTTTCACTCTTGTTGCCCAGGTTGGAGTGCAATGGTGCAATCTTGGCTCACTGCAACCTCCACCTCCTGGGTTCAAGCGATTCTCCTGCCTCAGCCTCCCAAGTAGCTGGGACTACAGGCATGAACTACCACACCCAGCAAATTTTGTATTTTTAGTGGATATGGGGTTTCACCATGTTCGTCAGGCTGGTCTCCAACCCCAGACCTCAGGTGATCCATCCACCTCAGCCTCCCAAAGTGCTAGGATTACAGGCGTGAGCCACTGTGCCCAGCACACCTGTCCATATGACTTTTTAACTTCTTGGCTCTCCTTTGGATCTGACTACCTCCATTAATTTGTTTCCACTCCCTGACTTGAGATCATGACCTAATTTGTTCCTTTGTCAGTCTATACACCCATAGCATGACCTGTCCTAAATTCCTATCCCACATTCTCAACCTCTGGACATCTCCACCTACCTGTTCCTACCCCAAACCAGTTTCACATTCGAACAGATGGATATAAACAAGCAAAATATTTAGTGTGCTAAATAAAGAATAAGAACTACAGGCCAGGCATGGTGGTTCACAACTGTAATTCCAGCACTTTGCAAGGCTGAGGTAGGAGGATCACCTGAACTCAGGAGTTTGAAATTAGCTTGGGCAACATAGCGAGACCTCATCTCGTCTAAAAAAAAAAAAAGAATTAGCTGGGTGTGGTGGCACACATTTTAGTCCCAGCTACTTGAGAGGCTGAGGCAGAGAGGATCATTTGAGCCCAGGCCAAGGCTGCAGTGAACTATGATCACACTACTGCTCTCCAGCCTTGGTGACGCTGTCTCAAAAACAACCACCCATCCTCCCCCAAAAACCACGAGAGTCTAAACAAATGGTGCTGAGCAACTGTATATCCATATGCAGAATAATGAAGTTGGAACCCTAGGTTGCAATAAAAAAAATTAACTCAAAATATACCAAAGACCTAAAAGAAAGAGCTAAAAACATAAAACTCTTAGAAGAAAATAGGGATAACTCTTTATGACTTGGGTTAGGCAATGTTTTCTTACATATAACATCCAAATCACAAGCAACTAAAGAGCAGCTAAGTTGGACTTCATCAAAATTGAAAATTTTGTGCTCCAAAAGACACTTCTACAAAAGGGAAAAATGGTAGAAAATATTTACAATTCATGTATCTGACAAAGTAGTACCTGAAATTTAAAACACTTGCAACTTAATAATAAAATTACAAATAAGCCAATTTAGAAATTGGTAGAGGATTTGAATACACGTTTTTCCAAAGAAGATATACAGATGGCCAATAAGCACAAGATGTTCAACACCACTAGTCATTACAGAAATGCAAAATAAAACCACAATGAGATACTTCACACCACTAGGAAGACTAAATCACTAGATACAAGTGATCACAAGGATATGGAGAAATTGAAATCCTCTGACACTGCTGGTGGGAATAGTAACATAATGTGGCTACTTTAGAAGTTTGGCAGTTCCTCGAAGTGATATATGACCCAGGAATTTCACCCCTAACTATATACCAGAGAACTGGATTATGTTGATAGAAAAACTTGTACATGGAAGTTCACAGCAATATCATTCATAATGCCATCATTCATAATAAAACAACTCAAATGTCCAACTGATGAATGTATAATTTAAATGTGGTATATCCATACAATTACCTATATTGTTTAGCAATAAAAATGAAACACTGATACATGCTAAGTCTCAAAAACAGGCTAAATGTAGAAGCTACTCACTGAAAAACAAATTGTAGAATCTTTTCTAAATGAAATGCCTGGAATGAGAAAATCTATCTAGGCTGGGCATGGTGGCTCATGCAGCTGTAATCCCAGCACTTTGGGAGGCCGAGGTGGGCAGATCACCTGATATCAGGAGTTCGAGACCAACCTGGCCAATATAATGAATCCCCGTCTCTACTAAAAACACAAAATTAGCTGGGTGTGGTGGTGGGTCACCTGTAATCCCAGCTACTTGGGGAGGCTGAGGCAGAACTGCTTGAACCCAGGAGGCAGAAGTTGCAATGAGCCAAGATTCCGCCTCTGCACTCCAGCCTGGGCAAGAACAAGGCTCTTTCTCAAAAAAAAAAAAAAAAAAAAAAAAAAAAAAGGGAAGAAAAAACTAGAGACAAATAATACAATAGTGGCTGCTGCCTAGGACTGAGGAACTGGGGAGGAAAGCAGAGAATGACTAATAACAACAGGATTTCCTTTTGAGGTGATGAAAATGTTCGAGAATTTTAAGAGTGGTGATGGTTGCACAACTTTGAAAATATATCAAAAAAAGCATTAAATTGTACACTTCAAATGGTAACTTTTGGCCAGGCGTAATGGCTCCCCAAGTGGCTCTAAAACATTCCACCACTTTGGGAGGCCGAGGAGGACTGCTTGAGACCAGCCTGGGCAATAAAGCAAGACCTCATCTCTTTAAAAAAAAAAAAAAAAAAAAAAAAAGGCCAGGCGCGGTGGCTCACGCCTGTAATCCCAGCACTTTGGGAGGCCAAGGCGGGTGGATCACGAGGTCAAGAGATCGAGACCATCCTGGTCAACACGGTGAAACCCCGTCTCTACTAAAAATACAAAAAAATTAGCTGGGCATGGTGGCGTGTGCCTGTAATCCCAGCTACTCAGGAGGCTGAGGCAGGAGAATTGCCTGAACCCAGGAGGTGGAGGTTGCGGTGAGCCGAGATCGTGCCATTGCACTCCAGCCTGGGTAACAAGAGCGAAACTCCGTCTCAAAAAAAAAAAAAAAAATTAAAATTAAAAGTGCATGGTGACACACATAGTAATCCCAGCTACTGAGCAGACTGAAGTGGGAAGATTTCTTGATCCCAGGAGTTAGAGGCTGCAGTGAGCCATGATTGTGCCACTGCACTCCAACACAAGACCCTGTCTTTTTAAAAAGGGTGACATCTATCTAAAAAAAAAAAAAAAAAGTTTAAAACAAAAAGAGGAAATCAAAGGAGGGAAGAGTGATAGGGAGAGTTCTTTCTGTGCATGTTCTATCCTAAATAGGGCTGTTAAAAAGAGATCTCAATCAAGCACAAAGAATAATCAAATAGCAAATTGGTAACATTACATATTTAAACTTCTTTACCAAAATGACTGAAATATACTTTTGCTAATTTTAAAATCTAGGGACTATCATCCAAACTAAATCCTGAAATTTAAAGTTACTCTTCTTTTTGAGAATTGTTAAATACTCAAGGAACAAACCCTCAAATCCTTTAATCTTTATAAAAATTGTAGATCCCTCTGCCAGTTTAAGGTAACAAAATTTAATACAGCAACAAGGACAAATGTGTATTTCAAAGGTTTTCCAAAGAAATTCGTCACAGCTTTGCAGACATACATGCCTGTTCGGTATTTTAAAAATTTTCTATTTCTTTTTACTGTCCTTGGTTTGCCTAAATCTTTATGCTTGAGTACTCTGCAAACACTTCTCAAACACAAAGTAACTCCTGAGTTTAGAGCATCATCATTTTCCTTAAGCAAGAGAGAGGCATGACCTCAACTCACCATTTTCAAAGATGGAATAAGCCTTTAAAATAACCATTACAGTCCAAAATCCATATATTTACTTTTTATTGAATTTGTTAATGTTACAGAGTTCTTGCACTGCCAAACCATGCCTGAGAATTCAAACAAATGGTACAATGGACAGCCTCATCCACCCATCATACAGTATATTAAAACTTGATTCATGTACATTTTGATATTTTCACAATCTTTTAAAAAGTTGTAACAAAGAGTTGGAATTTAAATCTGCTGCGGGTACAGTATGCTTTTACATAACACCTCCACTTAGTCATCTCTGTTCATTCTTCAGTAACATAACCCCCAACAAAATTTTGCTGGGAAAAAATACATACTTTCAGGGAAAATACACAGTTCAGTAATGAAGAGACTTTTTTAAGGTTTTTGGTTCCCAAATGAAGTCTTCAGTTTACCAAGAATCCCATTTCTGATTTAATCATCCAACCTCCCCTTGGCTGGCTCAGCCACTCACTCAAATACATTAGAAGGCAGGCATCCTGCCTGCCACCTCAAATGCCAACATTATTGCCCAGACATGGGTGGCAGGTCCCATCAGGAGATACTGTAATCACCCTTGGAGTCCAATTCCTGCACGGACACTTTCATCAAGACTAAACTCCTATCCAAAAATGCTCCCACATCAAAATAGTTTTACTCACCCACTTGCTTCACTCTTGCCAGTAGCAAGTCTGCAACTCATGCATTTGGCAAAGGGATTTATTATAGAGAAACCCAGACTCTGCATCAAGTAGTCAGATTACCACTTTCAGATATTTCTATTGAAAGATACAAAACTAGGAA